ACATAACGTGATTTATTTAATATATGCATTTTGAAAAGCTATTAACAATGGTAATCATTCCAGGGCTTTCATTTTTTCACTTACACTTTTTGTGTATTTTAATTTGTTCAAGAAACGCGTGTCGTTTCTGTAGCCAGAAAGAACAAAAATGGTGATTTTTAAATCTGTTTTCTAATTAAATAGAGAAACATGACATATTTCCACCTTTCTTCCTCACTGTTCTTTAACTATTACGGACTGAAGCTTAATGGAATCCTGGCTTTCACCTTCTATTTTTTAGATTCAGTGTCCTTTTTTACCTCAACTGGAGTTATTTTTTAAGAAACGGACTTCCCCAGGATTTGCTGGCTACTCTTAGATTCAGACTGGTTAAAAAGTCCATTTGCCTCATTTAAACTTCAAGGAATTTTTTTCTTTATCTATTGTTGCAGTTCTATAAACAGAAAGTTTTAATTCTCTGTCAACTCCAAATTTCATGACTTAATGGGGTGGGGGAGGAGAGGTTTGGCAAAAATCCCAGAAGATATTTTCCCTTCCTCTCTAAGGGAGCAAAACCCAGACCTTCCAGGAGGGGGAGCTCCACATATACTTGAGGTTATTTATAGGAGTTGGATTTAAATATACAATTCCGTCCCTGGTAACTCCAGCCAGAACTGCTACTTTGCGTATCCACCCAGCAGAACTGCATCCACCCTTACTCCCTTTCCTTACGTAAGAGGGCTTGTTTGCTTCAGTAAGTTACAGATGGGATACAAATTTAGCAGAATTTGTATTCGCCTAGAATACAAACCACCCCTAGAATATAAAATGGTACAGCCACTGTGGAAAACAGCATGGCAGTTCTTCAAAAAATTAAACATAGAATCATTATATGATCCAGCAATTCCACTTCTAGGTATATACTTCAAAGAACTGAAAGCAGGAACTGGACTAGATGCTTGCACACCCGTGTTCATAGCAGCGTTATTCACAATGATCAAAAGGTGGAAGCAACCCTGGTGCGGATGGGTCCATGAACGGATAAACACAATGTGGTGTATACAGTTGGCCCTTGAACAACATGGGTTTGAACAGTGCAGGTCCATTTTATACATGAATTTTTTTCCAACAGTTGAGGAAATTTTTTTGGAGATGTGTGATAATTTGAGAAAAACATATTCTTTTTCCTAGCTTACTTTATTGTAAGATTGCAGTATATGCATATAACATACACAATGTGTTAACTGTTGATGTTATTGGTAATGTTTCCAATCAATAGTACGCTCTTGGTAGTTAAGCTTTTGGGGGAGTCAAAGTTGTACTAGGATTTTCAACTCCAGGGGCATTAGTGCCCCAACCACCACGTTGTTCACGGGTCAGCTGTACATAAAATGGGATATCATTCAGCCTTAAAAAGAAAGTCTGACACATGCTTACAACAAGGGTGAAGCTTGAGGGCATTATGCTAAGTGAAATAAGCAAGACATTAAAGGACAGATACTATGTAAATCCTCTTATATGAGGTCCCTACTATAGTCAAATTCATAGAGACAGAGAGTAAAATGATGGTTGTCAGCGTCTGGGGGAGGGAGAAATAGGAGTTATTGTTTACTCGGTGTGGAGTTTCAGTTTGGGGTGGTGATAAAGTTTTAGAGACGTTTGGCAGTCAGTAATAGTGGCACAACAATGTGAACACATTTAATGCCATTGAATTGTATACTTAAAAATAGCTAAAATGGTAAATTTTATATTATGCATATTTTTCTACAATAAAACAAAGATTTAAAAATTCTGCCTCATCCCTATTTACATTACCTGTCATTTCACGGACTCTAGAAGAAAATCAGAAGATTATGCATGAAGTCAAATCAGTCTCTGGGCCTCAGTCTCATGTGTGACATGAAAGGGTTGGGTGGAGAATCCATGATTCCAAGTACAGATGTTGTGTCAGGAGAGATTTGGGGATAATAACCCTTCTGGAAAGTAAGATGCTCAGGACTATATAAACAAACATTCACACCTACTAAATTTTGAGACTCTACTACAGGCTAGACATTAAAATTTTTCATTTGTTAAACATTAAAAAATTTTAAATTATAAAATATTTCAAACTTACAGAGAATTCCTAAATGTAATGATGAAGTGTCCACCATGAGATCTTAACTTCTTATTCACTGGTGTATCCCTGGAGCCTAGAACAGTGCTTTCACATAGTAGAAATCCCATGAGTGTTTTCAAATGGAATGAATGACTCTTTATTCAAGCATCTTCATACACAAATAAATGTTAGTTTCTCTAGGATAATACCTACAAACCAAGCAGCCAAGCAACCCACCAACTTACCCTGTTGTCACAAATATGCAGTGTTCGTGTTTCCTACTATCCACACCAACATTTGGTATTGCCACTTCCTTATTTTTGCTATCTGAAAGATGTTAATGGTATATTGTTTTATTTTGCATTTCCTTGATTATTAGTGAGGCTGGACATTTTTCCTTAGGCTTTTCTTCAGGCTTGCCTGTTCATATCCTTTGCCCATATTTCTACTGGGTTATTTTTTCCTATCATATTTTAAATATTAATCTTTTGTTAATGTTTGGAAAATATCTTCTTATATTTTGCTTATATTTTCTTTTTGTGATATGCTTTTTTGACTGGAAATTTTACTTTTAATGTTTTCAAATGTATCAATCTTTTCCTTTATGGTTTGTAATTTATGTGCCTTATTTAAGAGAACTTTTCCTATACTGAATTGATATAGACATTCTTTTTTCTCCCTAAAACTTTTCTTATTCACTTTTTATTTGGAAATAACTTCAAGCTTACAAAATGTTGCAAAAGTGAAAATAATAGAACACTCATATGCCCTTTACCCAGTCTCTAACATAACTACAGTACAGTTATCATCTTCACAAATATACAATAATAAAATACTTTTATCAAATTTCCAATTCTTATCCCAATTTTGTCAGTTGACAAATTTGATGTTGATGCTCCTCACAGCAATATCATAAACCCTATAAACCATATAACCTCTAGCACAGGATCCAGACTAGAGGCAGGTATTGCATGGAATTGCCATGTCTTCCTAGCTTCCTTTAATCTGGAACAATTCTTCAATCTTTATTTGTTTTTTGTGATAGTGACATTTTTGAAGAATACAGTCCCCTTCCCTTTTTTTAGTAGGAGGTTCCTCATTTTGTTTTTATCTGATGTTTCCTCGTGATCAGATAGATGAAATGCACTCTCAGCTGGAGCGCAGCATAGATGCAATATTGTGCTTTCTCAGGGTAGCATATCTAGAGGCCCATGATGTCTACCTGCTACTCACTGATTAATTTTGATCACCGGGTCAAAGTGTCGCTCAATTTCTCCATTGTATAACTACTGCTTTTTATTTTTTGCTCCCCTGCAACTTATAAGGAGTCTGTAGGGAGATACTTTACAACATTCAAATATCCTGTTTCTCATCAAAATTTCCCCCTAGCTTTAGCATCCCCTTATGATTCTTGCCTGATCCAATCTTTGCTATGATGTTTGAAAAAATGATTTACTTCAAAATTTTTAAGTTTTGTTTTTATGTATGTCTTTTACCTGGAATTGATTTTGCATAATGTGAAATAGGAATCTAATCCTGTCTCCTTCCTCCCCCTCCCCTATGGCTAGCTAATCAGTTTCATTTATGGAGTAGCTCATTCTTTCCCCCCTGGGGAGAATGTCCACTTTTTATATATTAAATTTCCATTTTTTCTGGGTTGTTGCAGTGCCCTGTATTCTGTCCCATTGGTCTGTTTGTTTACTCCTTTACCAATACTATGGTGTCTTAATTATAATAGCTTTGTAATAAGTTTTGATACATGGTAGGGCAAGTATCCCATCCTATTCTCCTTTAAAATAGTCTTATTCATTTTTGTCATTCAGGCTGTTATATTCATTGTCACAAGTAATTTTCAAAACAACCTTCAGAGAGATTAACCATCTTTCCCAAGGTCACAAAACTGGGAAGGAGGAATTTAAACCCAGGTCTTTGAATCCAAACCCAGGAATCTGAATTCAAGGCCAGAGCTCTTTACATTATTTCCGGGAGTTTTGCCTTCCCAAAGCCAAAGGCATGGAGAAGTGGAAGTTAGAAAATCAAGTATGGGTGGGTGAGAGAAAAGAAGTAGGTATCAGACTGGTTTGGTTTTGGTCTCTGGAGTATACAGACTTTGCCACCCAAGGGATGGGGCTTAGACTTGGCTGGAAAACTGGAAACAGATTGGAGGAATGGGACTGAGAAAACTCCCACTCTACGACTGTTCACCCACAGAGGTCCATGGGCTGAGGGTGTCCATGGGCCCGTCTTGTGGCTTTCCAGGCTAAGCAGTGTAGAGTGGCGGCAGCCTGAAAGGGGGACCTGCAACTGCCTTTATGCTGGGGGTTGGTGTGCGCGGTTGGGAGGCATGGAGGGAAAAGAATCTGTCTGGCTGCTGGGAAGGCAGGACAGATCCCACCTCAAGGAGTTTCATCTCCCACCAGCCCCACCCCCCGTCTGATTAAGGGACCCTAATCAGCTTGGGGAGATTAAGGGCTCTGTCAGCTGTTCCACATGCACCGCCCCCCCACCCCCCCCCACACACCCCGGGCCTGGCTCGAAAAGGAGACCTGTGGGAGGGCGTCAGAAAGGGGATAGACCCTGTGACCCCTCACCCCGGCCCTGAGCCCCCGCCCCGCACTTTCTGGTGAGTGGCAAAGGCCCCTCCACAAGGATTCGGGTCCCTTCTGTCCCGAACGAACGGGTCAAGGGGGCATGGGCTGGTCCCCACTAACCCCGAAGGGCCTTTCGAGGTGGGAGGGGCAGATAAGGGGTAAACGGGAAACAGGAGAAGCGGGCAGGGTTTAGAGTGGGAGGCAGGGGGCTTCCAGGCCATACCTTTCACCCCCATACAGTTTTCCAGGCCTGAGGAAGGGGTGTGGAAGTGAAGACATGCCACGTGTTAATTAACTTTGAGCAACTGGGGGTTACGGAGAGAGTCCTAAGAGCGTTCGGGGGTGTCATCTGCGCATCCTGCTCTGCTTGTGCTCACAGAAGCCGGCAATGAGTGTCGGCGGCCCCGCGGGCGGGCTTCCCGACCTCCTGCCCCGCGCCCTCGCGCGCTGGGCCCCATCCCCGCCGGGCCTCCCCGGGGACCCGCCCCCGCCCGGGCCTCCGCTCCGGCTGCTCCTGCTGCTCCTCCTGCCGCCCTCGGCCCTCCCCGCTGTATTCACAGTGGGGGTGCTGGGCCCCTGGACCTGCGACCCCATCTTCGCCCGCGCCCGCCCGGACCTGGCCGCCCGCCTGGCCGCCGCCCGCCTGAACCACGACCCTGTCCTGGAAGGCGGCCCCCGCTTCGAGGTCGCGCTGCTGTCCGAGCCGTGCCGGACGCCAGGCTCGCTGGGGGCAGTGTCCTCCGCGCTGGCCCGCGTCTCTGGTCTTGTGGGTCCGGTGAATCCTGCAGCCTGCCGGCCGGCCGAACTACTAGCCCAGGAGGCAGGGGTCGCGCTGGTGCCCTGGGGCTGCCCAGGGACGCGGGCGGCGGGCACGACAGCTCCCACAGTAACGCCAGCGGCGGATGCCCTCTATGCCCTCCTTCGCTCGTTCCGCTGGGCACGGGTCGCCCTGGTCACCGCCCCCCAGGACCTGTGGGTGGAGGCCGGACTAGCACTGTCCACGGCGCTCAGGGACCGGGGTCTGCCTGTTGCCCTGGTGACCTCCATGCAGCCGTCGGACCTGTCCGGAGCCCGGGAGGCACTGAGGAGGGTCCACGAAGGACCCAGAGTCAGAGGTAGGCACCTGCAGGGTACAAAGGGTCGGCAGCCGTTCGGCAGCGGGCAGAGCTGTGAGCAGAGTGTCGGTGTCCACAGCAGTGATCATGGTGATGCACTCGGTGCTGCTGGGCGGCGAGGAGCAGCGCTGCTTACTGGAGGCTGCAGAGGAGCTGGGCCTAGCTGATGGCTCCCTGGTCTTCCTGCCCTTCGACACGCTCCACTACGCCTTGTCCCCCGGCCCTGAGGCCTTGGCGGCGCTCGCCAACAGCTCACAGCTTCGCAAGGCCCACGATGCCGTGCTCACCCTCACGCGCCACTGTCCCCGGGGAGGCAGCGTGCTGGACAGCCTGCGCAGGGCCCAAGAGCACCAGGAGCTGCCCCCTGACCTCAATGTGCAGCAGGTAAATGGCCAGGGGAAGAGAAAAGAGAGGAGGAGAGTCAAAGAGGGGAGAGGAAGCTGGAGGCAGTGGGAAGAGAAGTGGATAGAATCAATGAAATGAGAAGAGGCTGGAGCCAATGGGGAGAGAACTACTGCAGCTCTACCTGTTCAGGAGTTTCCTACTCCCCGGGAATGCAGAGGCTCTGGTCTTGCCTGGGGCATCTTAGTGTATTGGAATTGCTTCCTGAAACCTCTCAAGCCCAGCTCCAAAGAGTAACTCTAATGAGCTCTACACTGCAACATCTTTTGCATCTACTTCCAAGTAAACCCACATCCAGCACCCCCACAACATACCGTATATAACAAACAGCTGGTGCTCTTAAGGGAGCAGGAAGGAGGGAGGATGCCCACTTCAGAGTTGTTTCCTCCCAGGCTTTGCCTGGTCTTTGAGATCCTTGACATCTTGTGAGAAGCAGAGGAGGTCCTTAGATGGAGTCAAGGGCTGCCATAGTCATTTAGATACACAGTTTATTCCAACAACCAGCTAATACCCAGGATTCCCTGAGAACCCAGAATCCCACTAGAGACCACGTAGCTCCACTCCATTCATGAAAGAGAGACTAGAAACCCTTAGAAGGAAATTTGCATGTCAGTGGGCAGTAGACTAACCACCACAAAGGCTCTACTCAAAGGGCTGTGCATGAGAAAGGGTTGTGAGTCAAAGGGGCTTGAAATCTTCCCCACTAATGCCCCTGGGTGTCCTCCAAGAGGATATGAGGTATCCAATGGGGAGAAAGGATGGAAATAGTCAATAAGAAGAGGAGAAGAGGAGTCAGGAATAGTGGTGAGCTGGATGGAGGGCAGGTGGAGAGAGCAGTGAAGAATACTCTTTGGTTCCCAGGAAGTAGCACAGCCTTCCACCTAGCTCTCAAGTGAGACCCCTGGAGTCACTGTTGATTCCTCCAACCCTTTCCCTCCACATCTCAATGTCACTGTCACTTTTATTCCCTAAAGGTCATTTGAATCCATTCCTATTCTCTGTTCTCACTCTCACTGCCCTAGTTCAGGTCTAGTTCAGCACCTCTGGGCCCAAATCCCAAAACAAAGCCACCCAGGTGGTCTTGACTTTAACACTTATCTGCCCCAGGCCTTTCTCCACCTACTCATCTAATTGAATTTCAGAAGCCTGACAAATCTGACAAATCACACATCTGTTCAAAGCCTCCCAGTGGCTTCAGAAACCTCTTCAGATGGCTTACCATGTCTCTCCTATCTTCCTCTCTCTTCCTTGAACTTCATTCAGACTGAGCTACTTTGGGCTCCGTAAAGGTGTCATTCTTTTATTTGTCTCTGTGCTGGGTGTACTGCTCCTTCTCTCCTGTCCCTCCCCTACCAGATCATTCTGACTCTTCCCCTAAGGGATGGCCCCTTCCTCTGGAAGCCTCCTCCTCCCTCCCCAGCCTGGGATGCAGCCCTCTTTCCTGTCTCCACAGCTCCCTGTTACCCCTGTCCTCACTCACTGCACTGCCTTAACATCCCTGTGTGTCTTCCCCACTAGATGAGACATTCCTCCAGACAGATGGGGACTCTATCTTATCCATCGATATATCTATCCCTGGGGCTTTACACAATGCCTGGCACTGTGAAAGATGGAAACTGGCAATAATTGAAAGGCTCAGTGAGATCAGGTGATAGCCTTGGAGAAAGAAAAGAAGCTAAAATAGAAAACAGAAGACAACCAAAAGATGGGAAAGAAGGCATTTAGGTGAATGATAGAAGATGAGTTAAAAATGTATGGAATAGGAAAAGGAAGAGAGGAGTTGTAGGTGATGAGGGGTTAAAATTAACCAGTGGTGGGAAGCGTCTAAGAACCCTGAAGAGAGGGAAGGTCAGTGAGGAAATGGGGGGTATGGCCAGTGGGAAGAGAGGAAGAGGGAGCCAGTGGGGAGAGAAGAGGGCTCCTGGGGAGACAGGAAGAGAGAGCTGCTAGGGAAGGATATGGTGAAACGCTAACTAGGAGGTGTGAACAGTCAATACACTGTACTGTTTTGAAGGGCTTGAAAAGCCCAGTGAAAGGATAGGCAGGGCCGGTCAGTCCTCTTTTGTTTATGGGCCATGACCCTTAACCCTGAACTCCCTACTCTCTTCCAGGTGTCCCCACTCTTCGGCACCATCTATGACGCCGTCTTCTTGTTGGCAGGAGGCGTGGGCCGAGCACAGGAGGCCGCAGGGGGTGGCTGGGTGGCTGGAGCTGCTGTGGCCCGTCACATCCGGAATGCCCAGGTCTCTGGCTTCTGCGGGGCCTTAGGGGAAGCTGAGGAGCCCTCTTTTGTACTCCTGGACACAGATGAGGCGGGAGACCAACTGTTTGCCACTTATGTGCTGGACCCCACCCGGGGCTCTCTCCACTCCGCTGGGACCCCGGTGCATTTCCCTAGAGGGGGACGGGGGCCAGGGCCCGACCCTTCGTGCTGGTTCGACCCAGACATCATCTGCAATGGAGGTGAGGGCAAGCACCACAGCCTCCAATGGGACAGGCACCGCGGACCCTCCACAAAGTGGTGAAAGAGAGTGAACTCTCGTCCTGTAACTCCTCTTCAAGACCCTTCCGGGTCTTCCTCAGATCCCTGGCTTGTGCAGGACCCCTCTTCTGCTGAGCCCCCAAAGTCCTCCTGGAAGCTTTTTAGCATTCCCAGCCACTCCCCTTTGCAGAACCCATGAGCTTTCCCTAGATCCCATTCATGGATCTCATCTCCCTTTCCTGGAGCCTTCAGGATTTGGCATCTTTGCACACCTCCTCAGAGGAGGTGCCTCCCCTCGGATGCCACAGTCCCCAGCGTCCCTCCCCTCTCTGCCCCTCCAGGAGTGGAGCCTGGCATCGTCTTTATCGGCTTCCTCTTGGTGGTTGGGATGGGGTTGACAGGGGCCCTCCTGGCCCATTACGTGAGGTGAGTGGGAGAGTGAGGTAAGTAGAAGAGCTTGGCTCTCCACCTGCCAGAAATGCCACCAAAGATAGTCTGGGCTCACTCCGGGGGACAGAGAGGACTTTTTTCAGAGGGGAAAGGGGCCCTGGAGGGCTGGCAGAATTCCAGCGGATATCTGGTTTGGGGATGACTGCCCTCCCCTTAACCAAAATTATCCACTTCTGGCCTCCTGTCATGGCCATTTGTCCCCTTTGAGGAGATGACCTCCTTCCCCTACCAGGCACCGGCTACTTCACATCCGAATGGTTTCCGGCCCCAATAAGATCATCCTGACTCTGGACGACATCACCTTTCTCCACCCACAAGGAGGCAGCTCTCGAAAGGTTGGGGAGCCAGGGAGCCAGGATCCAGCTGTCCTTGCCTGCCTGGGCCAGTCCTCACCTCAACCCCTGCCTAGGAAGACCTGGTTTCTGCCCTAGCTCTGTCCCAAGTCTGATTGTGGGGGATCAGTGCCCTCATGTATGGAATGAATGTAACAGCCTGATTGTGGGGGATTAGCGCCCTCATGTATGGAATGAATGTAACAGCCTGATTGTGGGGGATCAGTGCCCTCATGTATGGAATGAATGACTGCTCTCCTGAAGCAGTGTGAAGCTCCAACAAGAAAATGGATATGTTCGTTTTATGAACTGTAAAGTGCGGTACACTTAGGAAGTAATGTCATTAACACCTTCCTTAATTAAATGTGTTATGCTCTCCTCTTTAATCCCTAGAACTCAGCCTGACCTCAATCCGAGATCCTAACCCCACAGTGTATTTTGACCCCTTGCACTGACCTCTACCCTCCAGGTGGTCCAGGGGAGTCGACCAAGTTTGGCTACCCACAGCGTGTCAGACATTTGCAGCATCCCCAGCCAGCCCCAGGGTAGCTCCAACATTGGCCTCTATGAGGTGAGCATGATCTCCAGCCAGGACAAGCTCTATTCCATGTCATGTCCTGCAGGCTCCAGGGAACAGGGACAGGAGCCCAGAACAGAAACTAGGGAGAGGTCATGGATTCCTCAGAGGGCAGTATCTGGGAATCATTCCTGCCCCAGGATTTTCCCTTAGCCATTATCCAGGGAAGGGTTCCTCAAAGGCCAATCACAGTGGTGCAGAGGCTGGAGGCCTGACTGGCAGAGAATGTGCTGGGACCAGCATGAAGCCAGGTGTGGTCACCGCGGCCATCCCCTGCTCTGTTGGGAGCCCCTGGCTCTGCCCCCTTAGTGATCCAAAACTTCAGGTTACTGAGGGCACAGGCTTCCCTGGAAAGAGGCAGAGGAGCTTCTGGGATGTGGTCTCATGGTCACAAAAAGGGCATTTTTCAGGACATGTATTGTTCAGGATGAGGATTTGCCAGATGGGGCATCCCAAACAAACCCATATTTCCATATGATGCAGATCAGACTCAGTAACAGCAAACTTTAGAGGGAAAAAATAAAGGTACAAAAAGGATTTTAGGACATTAACTATAAGGTTGGCAAATGTGGTGCAGTCAGGGGGAGATAATGAGAACAGATTCAGAGAGAACTGAGAGAGGACTCAGCTAATCCAGAAGGGAGTGAGGATTCAGAGTTCTTATGTATCCGGCCACAGAGACCATGCAGGGACTCCCAGTGTGTCACCTAGAAGCCATCAGGGACAGTTCTCAGAGGAGCACTTTTGTCATTTTGAGCAGGTATTCATCACATGGGAATTTCCTGTGCCTTGAAGAATGCTAAGTGTCCTGTTCACTTAACAGCCCCCAATTTTTGTAACAATTAAAAATGTCTCCACATTTATTTCCAAATGCTCTTTAGGGGTCAGTACCAAACCCCAAGAATTACCTCCTAGTCCAAATCTCTTAAAACAGACAAGCCAAGCTCTGTAAATTGCAAGGTCTGGGGCAAAATAAAAATGAAGAGCTGCTTGTTCATTTGGGATGACAGCAGCAGGTCACTGAGCCAAGCTCAGGCCCTTTGAGCATGTGTGACTGCACAGGTGGCAGGCCCATGAACTGGCCCCTGCCAACAGCTGAGGACAATGAGGCCCTGAGCCTAGAGGGGAGCTGCCTCTACTCCACAGCTCGTCTAGAATGAAGTCTAATCTACCCAAACTCTGGACTCTCAGCACAGGGCTCTCTCATGGCAACACGTAGTGATGAGGGCTGTGACTTCCGTGACATTTGTAGTGGTAATGGCTCACTTAATGGGGCTGTTGGTGAGTACATCTGGGGTGATGAGGACCGCCATATGGGACTTCTGCGTCCCTCCTGCCCAGGGGTGGACTCTCACCCAGCTAGCTGTGAAGTAGACTCACAGACACCAAACCCCTTGCTCCTGATGCTTTATGTCACAGGGAAGGTATGTTCTGGGGGAAGTGGGCCAATGGAAACATGGGGGCTCTGGGGCTCCTTGTGTTATAGGGTTTTAAGAAACTGAGCTCACTACTCTCATCTCTGTTCCAGGGAGACTGGGTTTGGCTGAAGAAATTCCCAGGGGATCAGCACATAGCTATCCGTCCAGCAACCAAGACAGCCTTCTCCAAGGTTAGAGTTGGGTCCGTGATGGGGTGGCGTGGCCATCACTTCCTCCTTCCTTGTTCTCTTTGCAGCTGGGTACAGAGCTAGGCCCCAGTGTGAGGGAGACCAAAGGTCTCAGCGCAGTGTTCCCTCCTCTGGAAAGCAGGCTTCCCATTATGTTCTTTCATAATGTTGTTCTTTCCTTTGATGTGCTTATCATAATGTGTTCCTTCACCTGTGTGCTTGCTCACTTCTTATCTGCCTCCATCACTGGACTGTAAACTGAGTGAGGGCTTCCCGCTACCCCCTGTGTTGTATTTCCAGCATCTGGCACAGTGTATGGAACATTTGAGAGACCCTGATGAATGTTTGTTGAATGAATGACAGAAAATAAAAAATGGGTTTCCAGTTCTGTTTGGCCTCTGTATAGAATGGCCCTGTTGATGCATATTGAGTGAAGTGGGAAGTTGGCAAGGAGGCTACAGACTGGCCTGTTCTGGTCCTTCCAACATTAATGCCCCTCTTACCCCTGACACCATGCAGTCTTGGCCTGCCCTCCTCCCCTGATGCCTTCACAGAAGCTCTTGGTCACAGCAGCAGAATCTCTTAAGTGGACTACCTGATGGGTCAATGGGCTAAATCTCCATTTAACAGCAGGCATTTAAGATGAAAAGAAGCTCCTTGTAGGACCAAAGAAAGTTGAAAGGTTACCATCAACTGCTAGCCCCCATTTTCCCACTTTGTCCGGACTGTGAGGGTGGCTGGCCTGCTGAGTGGGTGTGTCCTTGTCAGTGGCTCCTCTGGGACCACAGCTTGACTGCTCAGTCCCTTCTTCCCTGACTTGGGGAGGGTGGCAGCCTCAGACGTATCTGACACAATGATGTACCCAAGCAAAGTGTTCCTGGGCCGAGTTTGGGGCACATCTGTTTCTGTTGTTTTTTGAACACCAGCTTCTCCCTGGTTCTTCCCACAAAGGCTGTCACATCAGAAGGAGATTGTGGTGGTGCCAGAACTTCTCCTTCATGAGGCAATTCAAAGTCTTAGAGTTAATAAATCAGAATCTGCAGGGACTCTGATTACCAGTGCCACGTTGTCTTTTCATTTGTTACTTTAAGCTAAACCACACTCTATCCCAACAGTGGCCTTTGATTATGTTGTTTTTTCCAGCTTGAGAAGTTATATGCAGAAGAAAGCCCCCCACGTGCCCTATAGATCTTTCCACTCACCATTTTTATCGCATCTTCCAAGTTTGGATAGTCAGACACAGACCTGAATAATAGCCTTCTCCCCACATTGCCTCTAGGGCAGAAAATGCCTATTAAATTTCTCACTCTCAGCTCCAGGAGCTCCGGCATGAGAACGTGGCCCTCTACCTAGGGCTCTTCCTAGCGGGGGGACCAGACGGCGCCGCGCCCGCTGGGGAAGGCATGCTGGCTGTGGTCTCAGAGCATTGTGCCCGGGGCTCCCTCCACGACCTCCTCTACCAGAGAGACATAAAGCTGGACTGGATGTTCAAGTCCTCCCTCCTACTGGACCTCATCAAGGTGTGTGTTTAGGGTACAGTGGTGGGAATGTGCAGGAAGGAGGGGTTGGGGAGCTGCGCGGGTTGAGTCGGACTCTTACTCCACCCCTTCCAGGGAATGAGGTATCTGCACCACCGAGGTGTCGCCCACGGGCGACTTAAGTCACGGAACTGCGTGGTGGACGGGAGGTTCGTGCTTAAAGTCACCGACCACGGCCACGGGCGACTGCTGGAAGCCCAGAGGGTGCTACCGGAGCCTCCCAGAGCGGAGGGTAGGAGTCCCCGGCTGCCTCCCGCTCCAACGAGCATCCCCTGGGATCCCCATTATTTCAAGAGCCCCTCCTTCCCTCCCTCCGCCCTCGCACTCTCCATCCCACATCCACTGGACGAGACTAGTGCTACTGAAAAGGTCTTGTGACCTCAGGTGGGCGCTGAAGCTGGGAAGGTGGGGCCCGTTAGCCGTGGGAGCTAGGGCCTGAGAGGCGGAGCTGCTGCGCCAGCCGCGGGCGCGGCTCTGGGTTGGGGGCGGGGGCTTTACTAAAGGGCAGGGCTTGTGCTTCAAGGGCGGAGTCCTCTCTGGAAGGGGCTTGGTTTAAGAGGCAGGACCTCCTTTCGCTAAGATCCGCTTTGGATTTCTGGTGGTTTGTCCTGGAGTGAGGTGTCGGCCTCAGAGCCAGACTCAGGCTGGGGCTGAGCAAATGGGAGCCGGGGCTTTCTGGTGAGGGTGGGGCTCGATCCCAGCGCCCTCAGGGCTCTCGTGTGCCCGTGCTCCCTTCCCCGACCCCAGAACAGCTATGGACAGCCCCGGAGCTGCTTCGCGACCCAGCGCTGGAGCGCCGGGGAACGCTGCCCGGCGACGTCTTCAGCCTGGGCATCATCATGCAGGAGGTCGTGTGCCGCAGCCCCCCCTACGCCATGCTGGAGCTGACTCCCGAGGGTACAGCCGCCCCTTGCGTGGTGTTTGGGCTAGAAAGGCACCCTGCTATTAGGCAGAGCCCCGGTACTGAGATTTAATTACACGGCTTCCCTTAAAGCTGGGGTTTAAAGGGTCAGGGCAGTGCAGCACAGAGCATCAGGATGGGAGGCGTCAACTCTTCCCAGACCACAATGGCCCCACCAAGGCAGCAGCTTTGGGGAAAATGGGGAAGAAGGAGTCAGACTTGGTTCAAGCTACTTGTCATCTAGGAGACTTAGCTAGCAACTGGATCACCACCCTAAGCCTCACTTTTCTTATGTTCAATAAATGTCAGTCTCTTTGTCACCTCTTACTGCCCTCCAGGGTTTAGTGTCCTCTTGTTGCTCCCAGTAACCCCCTCCCACACTGCACTTCCCCATCTACTGAAGCTATGATTTAAGTGACCTGCTTCCAGTCCCTCCATCTTGGGCTTCAACAATCAGGCCAGAGTTAGAGGTGGCTTCTGTTCTGGCACATCCCTTCTCATGGTCCCCTCACACCTCCAGAAGTGGTGCAGAGGGTGCAGAGCCCCCCGCCGCTGTGTCGACCCTCAGTGTCCATGGACCAAGCACCCTTGGAGTGCATCCAGCTGATGAAACAGTGCTGGGCAGAGCAGCCGGAACTTCGGCCCTCCTTGGATCGCACCTTTGAGCTGGTCAGGGGCTGGGATTGGGCAAGGGCTGGGCTGGCCACTTGTCAGCAACCTGGAGAGGCTGCAGGAGGCAGGCTGGCAGGATCTGTGACTTTTCAGGCTACTTCCTAAGGCATAGCTTGTGGACTGAGGGTTTGGTGGGGTCAGAGTTAGAACAGGTTGTGGAGGCCTTTGGATCCAGAGACAGAGCTCTGAATGGGAGAAACATTTAAGTTAATTCAAATAACATTTATTGAGTTCCAAGTATGTGCTTGACCTAGTGTGGCAGAAAAACCCCTGGCCTGGGAATCCCAAGATGGGCCATTCCAGTACCCTGCCAATTACCAGCTGAGAACAGCTAAGCTCTTGGAACTCCCATTTCCTATATGCCTCTTACTAATGTGTGAAAACACAGTGCCCAGCACCCAGGGCAGGGGTTGGGAGGACAGCCTGATGAGCAGAAGATGAATGGAGGGCAGAGAATCAGGCATGATACAGCCCTATGAGAGGGGCATGGCAGCCCAGGTCTTTGGTAGCCCCACCAGTTTCCTCCTCATACTAGTTTAAGAACATCAACAAGGGCCGGAAGACAAACATCATCGACTCAATGCTGCGGATGCTGGAGCAGTACTCCAGTAACCTGGAGGACCTGATCCGGGAGCGCACGGAAGAGCTGGAGCTGGAAAAGCAGAAGACAGACCAGCTGCTCACGCAGATGCTGCCTCCGTGGGTGCCAATGGGGAGCGGGGACAGGGGGGTGGGCTGGAATCCAGCCGGACTGAGGTGGCCTCCAGGCAACCTCACCACCTCCCATCCCTAGGTCTGTGGCTGAAGCTCTGAAGATGGGGACAACTGTGGAGCCTGAGTATTTTGAGGAGGTGACACTGTACTTCAGCGACATTGTAGGCTTCACCACCATCTCAGCCATGAGTGAGCCCATTGAAGTGGTGGACCTGCTCAATGACCTCTACACACTCTTTGATGCCATCATCGGGGCCCATGACGTCTATAAGGTGAGGTGTGTAGGGGGCAAGCCCTCCTTCAGTTTCACCAGCCTCCAGCCCAGCCCTTCCTGCTCAACCCCAGCACACCTGCCCCAGGCCACCGGCCCAATGCTCTTTCCCCATCCTCCTGTCCTTTATCTCTTCTGGAGTCCCTAGCTCAGTCCCCCAGCTGAAAGGTTTCCCAGGAGCTCTGTACTAAGTCCAGTTTAGGCCTCCTGACAAGGGACAATGCCTTTAGGGGAGAGGGGTACTGAATTTGAACAACCCCTTCTCTTAGGTGGAGACAATTGGGGATGCCTATATGGTGGCCTCGGGGCTGCCCCAGCGGAATGGGCAGCGGCATGCAGCAGAGATCGCCAACATGTCACTGGACATCCTCAGTGCTGTGAGTTCCTTCCGTATGCGCCACATGCCCGAGGTGCCCGTGCGCATCCGCATCGGCCTGCACTCAGGTAACTCCCGGCCCACCCCCTGGCCTCCTGATCCCATCTTCCTCTTTAGGGCCCAGCTCCAGATTTCCTAGACAGGAGGTGAACTCGTGGAGTGGATGGGTGGGAAGATTTGGCAGAGGCCACCTCTGCATGCCAGGCGCTCTATTGTAACTGAGAGAAGGTACCCTTTAGAGTATTTTCTCAGGGAGCAGGTGGAGATTATGGGTTGCTAAAGTCCCCCGAGGCCCTAGGTACCACCCAGCTGCCAGCATTGCCATCTTCAGCCCAGGCCCTACGCATCTCTGCAGGCCCGTGCGTGGCGGGCGTGGTGGGCCTCACCATGCCACGGTACTGCCTCTTTGGGGACACGGTCAACACGGCCTCGCGCATGGAGTCCACTGGGCTGCGTGAGTGTGACTGGGGCGAGGGGCTGGGGAGATCCGGCAAAGTCGCGGGGCATGGCCTGGGAGGGGCACGCGGGAGTTGGAGCTCACTGTCATCGCAGCGTACCGCATCCACGTGAACATGAGCACTGTGCGGATTCTCCACGCCCTAGACCAGGGCTTCCAGACTGAGGTGCGAGGCCTCACAGAGCTGAAGGTGAAGGTCGTCCCTGCAACCCACACCCCCTCCCGCCCCAGGCAGACAGTTCCTCACCACCCACCCCAGCTTTCTCAGTTTCACTTAGTCCTAGAGATGCAGCTACCCTTAACCCGGGTCGCCTAAGCCCTCCTCCCCCACGTGTCTCCCCAGGGCAAGGGCTCTGAGAACACATACTGGCTGGTGGGCAGACAAGGCTTCAACAAGCCCATCCCCAAACCGCTTGACCTGCAACAGGGGTGAGGAGCTGGCTTCCAAGGGTGGACGAGTTAGGAGGGTCTGGCACAGACCGGTGGCCTCTTCACCCCTTCTCCCTGTTCCTGACTCTGCCCTCCCACGTCCCATTCCTACTCTCTGCAGGAGCAGCAATCATGGCATCAGCCTGCAGGAGATCCCACCCGAGAGGCGCCAGAAGCTGGAGAAGGCAAGGCTGAGCCACTTCTCAGGGAAGTGAAGCCCTCCTGGGACAGGTGCTGCCCCCTCAGCTCCCACACTCAGCTGTCAATCTCCCCCTCAGTCGCCAGGGGCTACAGGTCTTTGGGAGATACTTCCTGGAGGACCAGAGCCTCTTTCCCAGCCTGAGGACTATCCCTGCCTGCAGAACTTTCCACCCAAGCCAGGTGTCCTGGTCCCTCTCTGACTTAGTGAGTCCAGGCTAATTCCTAAAGCCAGATATTTCTCCTGGGAGGGAAGAGCCAGCTGCAGGGATTCTGCTTCTGTAGGTCTGGAGTGGTCCTACATCGACTCTTGGTCTCTTTGTAAACATGACCTTTTCTCTGACCTACCCCCCACTGCATTAACCAGAACTTCCCTGCCAGTGCCTCAGACCCCAAAACTGTGTGCTACACAAGAGACAGAACCCTAGGGAGCAACACTCACCAGAGGCCCAGTTGAATGCTGCCCCTCTAGTCCTGTTGGAGCAGATGCCCTGCCCTCATCCACCTTCAAGAAAAAGAAACTCTCATCCATGACCCTCCCCTTCCTAGATGAGCCCCCAGTATCCCTTTCCACAATTTCCCCCTGAAACACTCCTTTTTCCCTCAGGATTATTCCAGAAGTTTCTTTTCCTGGAAGTTGCTGCTACAGGTGATCTAAAGTCTGGCTAATACCAGTGACTTCTGTCCAGCCCTTCTACAAAGGATTCTGGGCCTTTACAAGAGCAGTTCCAAACCAGCCCTGCGACCTTCAGAAAGTCTCACGTGCTTGGGTTCCCCTCCATGGTGAAATAAGAAGTGGCCTAGGGGGTTTCCACATGCACCCTGTCCCCCCAGCTCTGACAGCTGGGCTTCAAAATGGTGTGGGCATGTGCCCTGAGCCTATGAGGGGATGTTGCGGTGGGGGCTTCTCCACTTCCCAGAGCCTCTCAAAGCCCCAGGAAGGAGGATCTGCGATTGAATGCCCAAGCCCAGAGGAGGAGGAGACCTGCTCCACCAGAGCAGGGATTGTCCTGTGGCCTGAGGAGGCAGGGGCTTCCATTCGGCTTTAAGCGTCCTTCCCTTCCTCAGCCCCCACTAATCAGAAACTGGCTCCTTCTACTGTGCGCATAATCACCTAATTGTCTACGGACAGAGAAAAACTAGCTGCGAGGTTTGGGGAAAGGAAGGTTATAAACTGTACCAAACCTTTACTAACCAGAACACCCAAAGATTAGTAATATTCTCTGTGTAACTGGGTGCTGCTGAGCAGACAATTGGACAGAAAATTCTCTCTGCTTAGATCTTTGCAACGAGTGTCAGCCGCCCACCCCCATCCCATCTTGGTAAATCCCCAGCTGAAGTTCCTCTGTGGAGCTTGGATGGCCCAGAGCCTGCGCCTTGGCATGTTTGACTCCCAGTCTCCTTCACCATTGCTGTAGACCATGGAAGAAACTGGGAGCTGCCACAGCCACTCAGGCTACCACTATTGGTAGTGGGTGTCCAGTCCCTGGAGGTATGCAAGCAGAACTGGAGACATCATTGACCAAGGATATAACAATCAGAGGATATAACTAAGTCTTCACTACACAAAGGGTGGTTGCTGAGCCAGTAGCAGTGATATTGCCTGGGAGTATGTCTGAAATTTAGAACCTTAGGCCCAGGCCTGTTGAATCAAGACCTGCATTTTAACAAGTTCCCTCAGAGTACTTATGTGCACATTAAAGTTTCCTAATCATGGAACTAAATGATCCTAGGGTCCCTAGAGGTTCAGAATCTCTAAGATTTCATTAAAAACCAGGCTAGAAACTGAGACTTGGTTTGTTTTGACCTGTGGGGTGGTTTTGGTTTTGTTTTGAGCTAACATTTAAAAATCACGAGATACCACCTTCTAAAGACATATACCAGATTTCCCTCTTCTCTGAATCAAAAGCCCCACACAGGTGCAACTGCTGAATTTGTGCTGGAGTTCTCTCCCGGGCTTCCTCTTCAGTTCCCAAGGCCCCCACCACACCCTGCAGACTCCAAGACACCAAGACTTTACGAACATCCCTCTCGTACCTGTTTGGTGCCTGCAGACGTTTGCACTCAGGACCCCTGGAGTAGCTGGTATTAGGGTTACAGGTGCTCCTGGAATTCCCTGTATGACTCAGGAAATCCGCAGGTTTAGCGCTCTTCCCTGCCTTCCAAAAAGTGAAGAAAGAAAATGTCAGAAATCTAAAACTCAGCATTTATAGGTTCTAGTCACTTAAGATGGTGCTGGTATAGGCATTTAGTGTGATTTTAAACCGAGTTAGGAGGTGATGAATTAAAGATTTTTAAAAACCCTAAGGCATGCGCGCGTGCGCGCGCGCACACACACACACAGACACACACAGACACACACAGACACACACACACACACACACACACACACACTCACTATTTTTTAAATTATATACATTCTTTAACATCTCTCCTCAGATTTTCTTTGTACTTAGGCCCCAGGGACCGAGGGCAGACTCCACCCACATTGCTGGTGCCGGGCCTGACATTGCGGATGTGCCTCTTTTCCCCCAACCCCACCCATCCCTCCCACTCCTCCCCTCTCTGCCTGAGAGGGGCCTGGGGTAGTTAATCAGCTGTGATTCAGGGGAGCCTCAGGGAAGGGTCAACCGGAGGTTAAAGTGCAAAAGGATTATGTGGGGGCAGGCTTGGGCAGGGCACCTCCCAAAGGAGACGTGGAGCAGCTGGGGCCCAAACCCAGTCTGAGTTAGAGGCAGAGCTGGCAGGGCTGAGCAGGTTCCCTCCCACCTTTACCTCACCTGTTCCCAGGCCTCAATCTCAGAGGAGCCTGGTAAAGATAAAGTCCTGTCCTTCCTCCAGCTAGGACCCCCACCCCAGGGCTCACAGAGCAGGTGGGAGAAGAGGCCTCAGTCTCCTCTCAGCCTCTCACCCTCACCCCTCTATGTCCCTGTCTCCTCCCTCTGTCCCCAATGTCTGCTCTCTGCCCAGAAGTTTCTCCCTGGTTTCTCAGCAGTCCCCCCATTTCTGGGAAACCTATTTTCCTGGGCCAGTCAATATCCTAGAGCCCTGCTGCCCTCTCACTCAAGTCCTCTCCACCTACTCACCCCTGTTGTTCCTGGGACTCAGGCAACTCCCAGTCAGAGAGCACCTGGCTTGGTCATTAGGCATGCCCCACCTTCAGAGGTGTTCATGCTACCTCTGTCAGCTGGCCTCTTCCCGGAACCCACATTTGGGACTGTCCTGGCCTTCAGGGTAGCTCTGTGGCTGGGCCTAGTGATGGCTGAAGTACAGAACTCCCACAGCTGCTGCTGGGCATCGCATCCTATACCTGGGCTCACCTGGTGCCCAGCTGGCACCTTTTCTCTTTGCTTTTCATCCTGATCTGGGCCCTGCTCTCCATCCCTCCTGCAGTGGACCCCAGGCACCTTCCTCTGGGGGACCTGTGATGCTGCATTGTGGAGCTGTGCTCACTGGGATCTTCTGGACTGTGCACTGCATACACAGGGCCACGCGCCGTGGTGTTGGGTCCTGGGAGGGCGGGGCTGAAACAAAGACATGCTTTCCTCTATTTCATGGCACATGGTCCTTCCGGCCTGGGAGGTCCGAACACCCCATCCCTGGAATCTTCAAGCCTGGCATTGATGGGGAGGGCTTCAGAGAGCAGTGAACTTAGAGGTGACCTAGGCAGGGGGAGGTGAACTGGTGCCAACAAGCTCCCTCTCCCCCCACCATGGAACTCCCCTGCTCAAGGGGTCTGCTCTGAGGGAACCCAGCCAGGAAATCTCAGGCCTTTCAGGCTTCTCAAAAAGACCAGAGTCTCTGAGGCTCTGGAAACAGGCGATGTGGCCCCATCTCTTGGTGATAGGCAGGAGAGAGGAAGAAATAGAAGGGCAGAGCTTGTCTATGGCCATGACCCATGACCCATGGAAGCCAGAGTCCAAGACTGATGGAACAAGGCTCCCAAATGGAGAAGCTGTGGTTCATTGGTTTCCAGGCAGAATCTTATCAACAATCCACACTTTACCTCCAAGCCCTCAAGAGTCTGGCACTGGACGTTAGAACAGGACAGATCATCCCAAAGCCACTGATGGGTGACAAGCCCTTTGGTCATCCATTTTCTTTAAGCCTAGCTCTGCTTGCCCCAGGCCCAATGTTTCTGACATGATGACTCATAGTGGACATCAGTTCTGCCTTTCCTGGGCCAGGCAAAAGAGGTTCGGTGCCAGACATTGCTGGAGCCGAGTGGAGAAGTTGCTGAGAGGATGCTGAGCTGTCTTGTCACTACAAAGACAAGGAGCAGAACTGACAGATGGGCAGAGACCAAGTCTTGCTGCTGCTGCCAGACCCAGCTGTTCGAGTACCACGGGCTACCAAGATGTTTTCTTTGCCTGAGCCAGATTGAACTGGGTTTTCCATTCTTTGTAGTCAAAAGTGTCCTGACACACTCCTCCAAATGATTATGGAATGCAGTGGGGGTTAGACTGGTTTAACAGGAAAGGAAGGAGGAAACTGCTGACTTGGGAGGAAGGAGTGTTGGATCTGCCTAAATGAGAACGCCACCCCAATTCACTCACGGAAGACGTCTCTTGATGCAACAAGCAAGAGGACTTTATTCAGGAACCAGCTAGCTGGGGTCCAAGTGTCAGCCCGATGCAGCAGGTTTCAACAAGGACCCCGAGCACGCAAAGCCAGGGGTTTATATAGCATGTTCGAACAAAGAGAGAGAGAAAAAAAGTATCTTTCCACAAGCACATAACAGTGTTTTTCCACAAGCACGTAACTTTTCAGCTGGCCCTGGGGTTTAGCAAGATAAGCTTGGTATGTATGATTAACTGATTGAGGTTGGCTGACTAAAGGTCACTGCAGTCGGTGCTCATGATTGATTAACTTGTTTTTCAAGGCCTTACCCAGGCCCAGTTTTTTCTTTCTAAGTCACATACTCAGAAAATGGCTTATAGGCCCTTAAGATGGCTATGCTTATGCTAACCTATTTCTATTCTTATGGGAGAACAGCGAAGGATGAGTGGCCCAAGAGAAGACTGTCTCCAAGTCCTGACTTCACTCAGAGTAAGCCTGGGCCTTTTCTGGGCACTGTGACTGTTGCGGCAATTTCCGTTTAAGGGGCCCTGAGAGGGGAAAGGTTAGAGCCTGGGGCCAGAAATAGCCTAGAGGGATGGTGTGCTGACTCAGCATTTAGAGGGTGGTGGACCTGTGGGTCCTGCCTCAGGGGTCTGTGCAAACAAGAAGTGGTGCTTTGGTATGCTCTCCCCAGTCAGCACAGCAAGGTGCCCACATCTTATGAGCTGAGTGACTAGACGCAACAGGAAGGTTGAGGTGGGGCAGATGGCTCTCCCAACTCCCTCTCCAGGAGGGGAGTGGAGAAATGGAGCAGGACCATGGTGGTGTCTGGGAAGCTGAGGTTCCAGCAGGGCAGGTCTTGTTTGTTACAGTCTAGAGACTCACCCATCCAAACTAAAGCCATTTTGTCACCTCCACCAGGGACATTTCACCTCACCACCACACCTGAGCCTGGGTCTTTGGCCCCAGACCAGAGAAAGGGATACTGCCCAAGCATTTAGCCATTCTGCTCACATTGATCCTGCCATTTGAAAAACACATCCCCCACTCACTGTCACTAATCCTTTATACCCATGACAACAGAGGCTCCAAAGGGTGAAATGACTTTTCAAAGGAGACATATCCTGCAAACCTTGGGACCAGGAAGCAAACACAGGAGTTCAGACTCTGAGCTTGGGGATGCCTCAAGGGTGCTCTGGCTACAGATGTTTATCTTACAGGCAGATATGCAAACTTGACTGATGCCCTCTTGATTCTTTTCTGCAAGAGCACAATTTAAACTCCAAATCAATAGAGTTTAATCAGATTATTAAATCAGATTTTTAAAGAGTTTTGCCTTAGTGGGATATGAACATAAACACACTTTGCATTTCTCCCATCAGTGCCTTCAAAAGTCCAGTCTGGTTGTAAACTCTAATCTCCTATGTGCTCTACATGTTTTCTCACCACACCTGTCAGGGACCTGGGGGTGGGGTGGGGTGAGATGGTGAGTGCATGTCTGCTTCATCCCTCTGAGACAGGACCATGGACTTAGACAGAGTAGGGTGAGGGCTCTGGACAAAGACCCCTACCAAAACTCCATGTGAAACAGTTTAGCAAAGCCAGTCACATTAATTCTCTAAAGTAAAATATCAAACTAGGAATATAAACATTCTTCAGTGAGATTGGTTAAAACTAAAAAGCCAGGAGCAACTTGGCCTACAAGTTTGAATACTCCCCAGACACACAAAGCATCTCAGCATAGCCTATGTTTCACTGGTTTTCTTTTTTCGTTTTGTTTTTTTTTGAGAACCAAGGACGTTTTATAGTTAGGACACACAGTAAAAATTTGGGAGTGGCTCCGAAGCCACAAGAAGAGCCCGATGTCTTCTGGGTACAGGAACCTTCCTTGCCTCCACCACAGCAGCCAGACTGTGCCTCTGGATAACATGGGAAGCGTGACGGTCACATCTCCTAGAAGGACCAAACAAGGTAGGAGGCCCCATGCTCAGCTGACATGCCCCAAGTAATCGGCCATCAGGGAGCCAATAGCAAAAATGTCATTCTTGTCCACACAGCCCCTCCCCACATCCAGAACATACCATTGTAAGACTTACTTTAGCCTGCTTAAAGGCCCAGCTATTAAGGAAAAATTCTATTTTAGAGCTAAGATTGCATTTTAATCAAACAAACAATAACTCAGCTCATCTTGGAAATAAGGCAGGCAGTCTTAATTGCTATGCTCCCAGATCAAAAAGCTGTTATCCTAGGGAAAAAAATCAGAGCAGTAAATTTCTTGTATTCAGCTAGCTATGAAGAATAACCCACTGATAAGAAACTTAGTATCTCTTCAAAAATAAACATTTTGGGACCATCTGGCAGGTCTGCATCCCTAGCCCTTTGTCTCTCAACCGCCTATAAATCCCCTAGACAATGCACCACCCCTGACTCTCTTGTCTCCTCCCGGCTTGAGCCAGGAGCTCTTTCCTCTTAATTTATCTCTAAAATAAAAACCTTTCACTTGCTCTCCTACTTTGAGTGTTTGCGAAAAGTTTATTCTTCGACTCCGTGAACAAGAACCCCGGCATCACCTCCTCGCCCAACTCTGGCTCTGGAGAGT